TCAACAGGCTGCGCCAACTGGGTCACACGATGCGCATGACCCACACTCGGCTGCCCAAATTGGCGCTTTGGAGCGCCGCCCCCGGCCCGCGCGCTGTGGGGCGGCCACGCGTGTCATGGTTTGACGTAGCGAGGCGAGACTGTGCTGCCATAGGGATCGATGTCCCCGTTCACCTCGACGACCGCTGCTCTGACCGCCCCGCTTGGAAGAAGGCTTGCTTATCTCTCCTGCCAAGGAGGCGTGCGCCCTCTTACTAATTCCCGACTTGGCCGCACCCGCTTCCTCCTCTGGCCTTTACGGTTAGGGGCGTTACCCCTTTGGGGAGCCAGGGTTTTTCCCCTCGCTGCTGGAAAAGCGTGATGTAATGTAATGTAATGTACAGGCCGCTGAAGCCCCCATGGACCCTGCCCAAACATCGACGCCCCACACAAACTATTACAACTGACCAAATAGGATGAAGATATTGAATATAGTTCCTTGCCGCACCGCGATGCAAGACGCCAGCCACCCTGCCCTGAACATTCTCCTGAGGCCCCAGAACTCGAGCATCAGGCAAGCAGCAGCAGCGGCAGCAGCAGCAGCAGCAGCAGCAGCAGCAGCAGCATTGTCAACAGTCTTACCGCAGGTTGTATCATCAATGTACCAAGGGCTCTATCTGGAGAGGATGAAACAACCAAGGGCTCAGTCAAAGCCATCCAAGTCGTTCAAGCAAGCCACGTCGTCGAAGTCCTGTTGCAGCTCGCAAATCAGCTGCCACACTCGAGCTTCTAGATCTGCGGGGCTCAACAGCCCGCCACGCAGCTCGCGGTTGATCGTGCGCACCGCAGTCGTGCCAGTAGCATCGCCTCCAGACCCGGCATATTCAGACCCGCCGCCGCCGCCTGCTGCGCCCGTCCCATCCCTTGGACTTGGCCCCGCAGCCCCACCAGTAGCGCCAGTAGTCACATTAGCACCCCTTCTCGGCCCCCCCTCGCAGCCGGTTGGATCACCAATGCCGGGGACAAGTGCAGTCGCCACTGGCTGGCGTGGCTGGTTCACAGGCTGCTCGCAGGCCTCATCACTGACAACCACCACTTTGCACCCCAGCGCCCGCCTCAGCTCTGCAAGCCTGCCCTCATCGACGCTGGAGGCTGCTAGTGTGCCGCTGTGCGAAGCTGCCGGTGACGTGATTTCCTGCAGAGTCCGGTCCAGCTGCTGTTGCAGCTGCCGGACGATTGGCTGCTGCTGGATGATTTGCTGCTGCTGCTGCTGCTGCTGCTGCTTGAAGCGCTGCCGGAAGAGCTGCTGCTCCTGGTAGAACTGCTGGGACTCCTGCTTCTGTTGCTGCAAGAGCTGCCAGCAGTGCTGGAGGACCTGTGAGGACTGCTGAGACAGCTGCTGCTGCTGCCGCAGTATGTCATGCAGGTGTCCTGCGGCAACCACGATGTGCGGAACAGCTAAAATTTTGGTGCTTAAAACACAGTAGTGGTTGGCCATCTGAGGCCAGCCCAGTGGCAGGACAAAATTGCCACAGATTAGGTCACAAGCTACAAATGCTGCAGTTGACCGTTCCTTGCTAATGGGACACCATTTCCAGCCGCCTGCATGTGCAAACGCGAGCGACAGATCCCCTGACAGCTCGAGACACATTTCAATACATATGTTTCAGCATATCATGCGTGCGAGTCTAAAGGATTGTAGTAGTATGTATATAGAGCCTGGCCTTCAACATGTGCACAACCCTGCCGCACCTAACGGTTGCGCTTGCGGAAGCTCCTCCTGCTGCAGGGCTGCCGGCTGCTGCTGCACGGCTGCCAGATCTTGTTGCAATAGCCTGCCCTTGTTGAGTTCGTTGGTATCCCTAAGCTCAGCCTCCTTATCGGCTACCTGCTGTTCTCCTGTAGTCTCCTCATCAAGAAGAGTACCGATGGTGCACCCCTGCACCGCGCTTGTTGCCATTGTTTCCTGCAGCAGCCAGCAAAGGAATTGATATCAGCAGGGCTACTCTCACGCATCAAGCCCCGGGATAGCGGGGAACCAATAGTCGTAGCTGAACACGGTAGCCGGGGAGGCCTGGCAAGCAATTACCACTCATCCTCGCAGACATCAAACAGACCAGTGACGTCGAATGGACGCATGTTACCGTAATCTGTAGCTTCAGGAGCCATGCCAGGAAGATCGTGATCGCTGCGCGCGCACAACGGTACAACGATGATGCTAACATTATGTAATATGTAGTGTGAGGTCTAAATAGCTTTCAAATAATGCAAACGGTGTACAACGTCCGGTGTTTACTTCAGTGTATGCCCGCAGTCCTGCGTGACTCTAGGCTGCACGTGCAGCTGCATGCAAAGCACTTGCGTCATCTGGGCCGCCGTGGGGCCCGCCAGCTGTGATGAGCTCGACGGCAGCAGCAACGCAACCCCAGGTGGCAGGTAGCGCGGATACCGATGGTATGTATGTAACACAATTTCCAGCCTCCACCCCTGCATAACTGCAGGCTGCAGCTGCATGCGAGGCCTTTTCTTAGTCAGGGCCACCGGGCAGGGTGGCAAAGGGGCCTGCCAGCTGCGCCGAGCTCGAGGGCAAACTCGACACGACCCAGGTGGCAGGCGGTGCGGGTGCCACATGTGTCTTGTGATGTATTAGGGGCGGGTGCGGGAGTGTCACCTTGCATGATGGTTTTTTTGCTCACTTGCTGCTGCTCGAAACCTTCTTTAATCTGTCGGTTGCAGCGGCGCGAACCGAGAATGACCGGAGTCGACCGCAGATGGCCGCCCTGCCAATGCCCAGGGAAGGTGTGCACCCCTTGACCTGCGAACCCACGATAGCCCATTGTCAGGCCCCCTCTCCTGCTTGCGCCTGGCACAGCTCAACTCCTGTTATTGGAGCCCGCAGCGCAGCAGCCACAGGGCCAATCCGGTTGTTTCATCCACAGGCAAAGTCTGCTGCGCACGTCGGCGCCTGGCCGCCATTAGTAGGACGAAATGCAGTGGCTGTTTGGCGCTGCTGCAACAGCAGGAGCTGCTGCAGCACCAGCATGAGCCTCTCGCTGCCTCCCGTCAGTCCCAAGGCCCGCTCGGGCCCGCCAAGGCCCTTGGGCGCGCCTGGGGCCACGCAGGTACAGTATGGTGACCTTGACTTGCAACCCATCACCATCAGCATCAGCATCAGCATCAGCATCAGCATCATCATTATCATCATCATCATCATCATCATCATCATCATCATCATCATCATCATCATCATCATCATCATCATCAGCAGCAGCAGCAGCAGCAGCAGCAGCAGCAGCAGCAGCAGCAGTAGCATCTGCAGCAGCGGCATCAGCAATAGCAATTGCAGCAGCAGCTCCAGCAACAGCGGTAACAGTAGCACCAGTACAAGCTCTTCTATTAGCAGCAGCACCGTCGACAGTGTGACCATGTTTTGAGATATCACTGATTGGCCTGTACAGAAAGTTTCACAGCGGCTAGGTTGGCCGGAAGTGTGTTGGCGTTGGAGGTGGTAACGGTCTTCAAGATGGAACTTGAGGTGTGCAGCCCCAGATACTTCATTTGGTTGGTCTCCTGACGCAGATCATCTTGTATCACGCACTGCTGTTGCGTTCATGCTGAGGCAACTCAAGGCGCAGAGCTGCAAGTTTTGCATGCCGCTGCAGGCTAGAATGACGGGAGTTCTGCTGCGCCAGGCGCCAGCGCGGGAGGGACAGCTTTGATTTCATCCAATTCATGGCCACATGTGCGCCAGTGCCCTAGTGGTGGGCATTGGTATCCGTGATGCACTGTGCGTTCAAAATTGTTCAGGCTGAGTTGAAGCTAGATTCTGGGTGCTGGGGTGTCAAGACGCGTTTGTGGCTCCTGCAACTCTGATCGGAACTCCAGTTGAACAGTGATGAGTGATTGACCGCGCTGCCGAGCGTCTTCTGCCATGAGTGACCGCGCATCTAGGAGGCGCGAGAAAACTCAAGTAGAGGATTGTTTTGCGATGGCGGTGTTTCAACATGCAACATCAAAGAATTCATGCGACGACTCGTCTCGCTCCATACGTGATCTGAACCGCTGCTGGCTACCGTACCTATATATTTTCCCGTTACAATGACATCTTAGTTCTATATAGTATAGCGTGAAGAGGGGACAAGTTGATCTGGCGGCACCCAACAGGATGCTGGCCCGCGGCTTGCGCCACGCGTGTACAGCTGATAGCATGCATGGCTCGCTGTGCAGGCAAGTCTTTCTAATTTTTCGCGCCTTGGGTCCTCCGCCACATGTGCGCAGCGCGGCGGCATGCGCTGAGCCAGCCACCATCATTTTCTGGCCTCCTGCGCGCCCAGGCACGGCATATTTTTTGCAGCGGTGCTCGCAGCAGGGGCCGGCGCAAGCTCACCGTTGCACACCATACCGATGCAGGTACTGCGAGGCGGCGCACCGGCTGTGGCAGACCCTGTCGCCCTCGCCGACCATGCCAGTCAGGCGCCGGCCACCCTCGCTTGTGCGCACCGCAGCCACCCGCAGCCCGACGCCGCTGCCAAGGCCGCCAGTTGCGCCGAGCTCTTTGCCGCCGCATCCTCAGCAGCCGCCTGGCCAGCACCAGCAGCAGCACCAGCAGTACCAGCAGCAGTACCCCCAGCAACACCCGCTGCCCCGACAGCACGGGCCTGCAGCGGGCGCCCCTCCAGGCCCACCTGCCGCCCCCGAAGCGGCGGTCGACCCGGCCCTGCGCAACAAATACGCCCACACCCGCGTCCTCGCGCGCGCGCCGCCGCTGGAAGCCCCCGTCCCCGGCCAGCTGCCGCAAGCAGCCGCCGACTGGTTTGCGCGGATGCGCGTGCCGCGAGCAATACTGGAGCTCGCAGGCGTCGGCATGGCGTCGGTGGAGCACCCGCGGGACCCCGCGAGAGGGCGCGTCGCCGCGATCGCCCTGCCCCACCGCAGCGGCGGCCAGCTCGTGGACGTGCGGTACTACACACTCGACAGCCACGGGCAGCTGCAGGACACGTGGCTGGCGCACGGCGTCGGCCACCTGTACGCGCTCACGCCCGATGCCCTGGCTGCGTCAGGGGACGTGGTCATTGTTGGCAGTGAGCTTGCTGTTCTCACGCTCGCCGCCGCGGGCGTGCCCGCCGCGCTCGCGGTGCCGCAGCGGCTGGGCAGCTG